TATCACTACATTGTTGCAACAATATGCAACAATATGCTGACGATCCATCGTCATTTTCCCAGAAAGGTCGCCTGACCTCCTCTTGGGATCCTTCCTCATCGCTCAAAAAGGACCCCGCGGCGCTGCCACCGCGCCGGCCGACCATCGGACCGCTTTGGTTCGTCTTTTTGCGCGCTCCGACTGCAAAGAACCTAGCCATTAGTGTGCATTGCCTCGCATCCGACATAGGGTCCATTATACTAATAAATTTTGATGCACGCCCAGGCATGCGGCTATTAGATGAGGCCGCGCGGCGTTTAATGGCCTATTGATTTTACCTCCTATCATCAATCGTTGCACGTCTCGAATTAGTCATAATTTGAGTTGGAATTTGTGCGATATTCAAATTGATTGCGCCGAGTCTCGGAGGGGTGGGCTTCGTTCGAACTTAATCGAATGTGCTGGCTCCAGACGTGATAGGAAGATTTCCGGGCCGATAATTAATTCGATTAGGCTCATCTGCGTGCTTCTCAGTCGAAATTTTGGATTTGCGAAGGTTCTTCAAATAGCTTCCGATGTGATGTGGAATTTTCTTCAGCTACGTGTAATTCGAGTGGTTCTCTGAGAGGTACTAAAAACTACTTTCATACAAATAATTAATTATTATTCCATTCATTGACATATATATTTGAGCGTTTGATGCGCAGTACAGTCATGGACGATGTTCTGTACATACTCCGTTTTTGAAGTTCGTTGCCTGCTGGCCAGTGCTCATGTATCTGGAACGAGTTACCCACAGAACCAACGCTAGTCTGGCTAGTCATGACCAAAAGTTTTATATAGCCTGTCACGTCATGGGTTCCATGCAATCGTTGCTCTGCCCAGTTTACGCCCTATAATTGTTGAGCGTCTTCCGTCAGGTAGGGGCAGTTCGGCTCAAATGGACCTGTCTGGCGCTGTTAATTTGTTCCTGAAACCCCCATGGTGCACCCAATTTGCATCGAAGAGCCCGGCGGGGTCCCTAATTTGTGCTGAGAGTCATTGGCCATAGTTCCAGCTGCAGGGCGGTTCCGGACTGGTAATATTTTGTGTCGTCCGAATCGATGCGGGCCTCACTGTGGAGTCAAATGGCTACGATAACCGTATAAAGCGTACGGGACACAATACATGCCAATTCGAAGGCGATCCCTGTCTGCTGAACAAATCTGTTTATGAGCGTAGAGTCGTTATCGATTTTCGTTTCAGGAGCGGTCGTAGCGACGCCCCCTGGTCATTGAGGGAGGGTGGGTTGGGGGTCCGAGCTTTTCATTATTTTTCATCATAGTTGTGTAAGCCAGTGGCGAGCGTTTTGGTAAAGAGTATTGGCACCTTATTAGGAGAGAGGGGGAGTGAAGTGTATTGAAATGGGCATGCTTACTTATGTTGAGGATTATCAAATGACAGATATGACATACAAGTTCATGTACGGCCTGAACTTTTGAATTCATTTTAAAAGGGATAAAAAACGCAAGAAATTACCCGAAACGTTGGGTAATTTCTTGCGTTTTTATCCCTTTTAAAATGAATTCAAAAGTTTAGGCCATACATGCACTTATAGGTATGTCACATGCTTAGTAATGTCTGCTGTAGTCCACTCTACTCGTACATATATGTTGGACTGACGGTACCAACGCGACGTGTCGCAGGTCCCACGGGTCTCCATTCTCCAATGTGCCGATAAAATGGCTACTCGCTGGAGGTAGAGGACAGCTGTGGATAGAGCACTGGAGCCTGGGACATGCTAAGAATATGCCATTTTAGGTGCTTCTGTATGTCACATGTTGGAAGAGCTCAATCATTTCAATCATTTTTCCCATGTCGATGGCAGTATCTCATGGCATCTTCAATGCTCACTGCTCAGTCCCAAATTGCTTCTGTCTTTTTGAGACACCTTCATGCAATATTCATGTGTCTTACAGCACCAAATTGTACACTGGTGACACATGTGGGACCTATGCATCCAACTCAATTTTCTTCAGAAGCTGCGATGGGAATAGTTTGCAAACTTCCCCAATATATCATCGCAAGGAGCGCAAGTGGTTTTCAGGATCGCTAATCTGCCTTTGTTTACGAGGTACCGTGACCTTTCGCCGGTCCCACGTGCTCAATCATCCCGGACGACCTCGCTACAGCAGCGGCACCAAGTTGTCGATAACGACACCTTTAGCCGACGCTGCAGCAGTGCCTGCGTGAGACAGCACTTCGCCCGCCGGCCAAGTTGCGGCTCTGAAGCGATCTGGCTAGTTTCCCCTCGGTACCCGGCGCAAGCCGCGGGTAATGCATCTGAGTGCTCTCGATGCTCGGTCTAGATTAGACGGTTTTTACTAAGAGCTTGGCGCCGCAAACTCAGTCCCGAGAGCTTGGAAAGTTCATGCTCTCCTTTTATTCCCAGAGGGAATGGGCATACGGACTTTGTACGAAGTACCGAGTTGGCGTTTTTGTCGATCTTGTTCTGAAGGAAAATAACTTTTCCCGCGATTGGTTGGTACTGACCTTTTACGGTTGAGTCGAAAGCTCCACTTGATGGTTTTCACGACCGAGGTAAAGAATCACTTGAAAATCGCACATGTGTCGTGCAGATCACGACCAAGAGTACCTATCGCAATGCAAGGTCCACATATTCGCGCGACGATAGAAGGTAACACTGAGCTGGAGGACGAGGGGAGTGTCGCTGCGTGTATCGAGAACATGCACCGTAGTGACCGGCGGCGCGGCCGGGCCTCCGCCGGGGACCCACCTGAGACAAGACGAGTCGCCTTCTGGCGCTCCGTCCGCGTCGCTCCCGACACCACCGCCGGCCGGCACCGGCGGCGACCAATCAACGGCGCCCGGCCGGCCACGTGACCCCTATCCGACGCCGGCGGCCCGGTCACGTGACGGCCCGCGTCGGCGTCGACATCGGCGGCGGCGGCGGCGTCGGCGACGGCTAGTGGTGCGACGGTCAGCCGTCGGTCGCTGTCGGCCGCTCGGCGCCGCAGGTGGGGTTCGCAGAGCGGCTCGGTGAGACGCGGTGGTGCCGTGGTGTCTGTGAGTCACCAGAGTGGTGCTGTGACGACACGGAGACGAGAGACGACCGGGAGGTGGTGGACGGAAGACGGAGTGGGAGGCGAGCGAACGACGAGTCACGTTGTTAGGTGCTCTCGGGTGTTCGGCCGTTTGGACCCGGTGCAGTGATTCGATATGTAGATTGAAGGTGGCTTTCCTAGCTGTGAAGGTTTTGATTCGTTGGTTGTAGTTTTCAAATCGGGTGGCCCTGATGTTGCTTCTGGTTGGGCTCTAATTTTCCCTTATTCCTACTGTAGGTGCGTAATATTGTTCATGGGTTTGCGGCAGCTGCAGACTTAGAACAAGCGTACATTTTAAAACTTCATGATCGGTTTATCCGTGCACCGTCGTCTGGATTCGCCTCAGACATAATTTATGCCTCCAGTGGCGCGCAGTTGAGGCAAAATTGATGACCCCGCAATATGAACATTCGAACCAGTGACCTGCAGAATAACAAATGGGTTTCCGCGGCCCGCCGCAGACCACATTCAGGTCAAACTGGGAATTTCTCAACTAATCCATGGCTCGATAATGCCCTGTGTGGCTATTTTTTTTTTTCTACCAGATGAGTCGTCATTCGTCAACTGTTTCCCTGGAAAGGCGCACACATGGTAATGGGTTGGTGAACATGACTGAAACGAATGTTGCGTGTCGGGGTCGCTGCCAATCACGCTAAAATGTGATTTGGTTGCGATCCTAGCCTGCAGTATTCATATTCTATTTGTTTCGGGGTCGTTGAAAGCCTGCGGGATTGCTGGATTAGCCTGGCACCCCATTAAGTTCACGCCCTTGAACTATAAGCCACGGCAGCGGCGGCGGCGGCGGCGGTTCGCTGGTCACGCCATTTTCCACCAAACCATGGGCCAGCGCCGGCCGGGGCTACCTGAGCTGGCGGCGACGGGCGGCGTCCAAACACCGGCGGCGGCGCCGCGCGCCGGCAGCTCCCAGCGGGCGAAATTGATATTGGGTCGGTCTGGCCGGGCTGTTGTCGGCGCCGCCGGCACGCGACCGGTCACGATTGGTCAGCGGATCACACGCCGCCGCCGCCGCCGCGGACCCAGGGGCCAGCGCGGCGCTCCTGGGTGATTTGTCCAGCCCCCGGGTGGCTGGGCGTGCCTCAGACGCGCGCTGTGTCGACAGGACGTCTCGGAGGGATCAGCAGACACTCCAGCCACAGTGACAGCCGTGAGAGGGAGGATCAACACCTGGAGCGGCGCAGTGTTGGATACTTCGGGACCAAGATAGATACCAGGATCTTGAGTGAAACTTGTATCAAAAGAGACCTTTGTTTAAGCGGTGACCTTAGTCTCAATAAACCGTCGCGACATAAAGAACAGCGCCTCCTACTGAGTTCCTTCGACGGTGACTGCACCTGCGTCCGACTGCACCATTTGCACCTGTGACAGCGCCTACAACTTTTACAACAAACGGCTCATTCAGCGGAAACAACGACGGGCGTCAGCCGCTGTGGAGCGTCGGTGTTTCGTCAGCGAGTGTCGGACGGCCGCCGCCGCCGCTCGGCCGGTCAGCGGGCGTGGTGGCTGACCTTTTCGGGGCGTCACGAGCCCGCACCACTCAGCGCGGCGGCGCGGCAGCGGTCACCAAGGGAGGCGGCGGCCCCGCTGACCAGAGCGACCACGGGCCGTCGTGTGAGCCGCCGCTCTGTGGACAGCGGGATGGCGACGGCCGGCGCCGCGCGCGCGGGACGCACCGTGCGCGCGTGACCGGAGATCAGCCCGGAGCGGCCTGGAGGGGAGATCCCCCGGTGGCCGCCCAGCGCCGCCCAGCGCCGCCGACAGCCGGCGGTACAGTATGTCCTCCCTCCCGACCCGCGGTCCTGACCGTCCTGCCGTCCGCTCCGCCCCCACCCCGGCCCCCGCCGGGCCCCGGCCTCAGCCGGCGCCCCCAGTGTGTGACCGTGCCGCCCCTGTTCCTAGGAGGAGGATGGTGACAGCCGCGTGCGCGCTGCTCGTGCACTCGCTCGCCATCGCCGCCGCTGCCGGTAAGTAGCTCACGCCGCTGGCTCGGCGGTACGGGGAGGGCCAGGGGAGCTGCTCAGCCGCTGTGCTGTGCTGGGGAGGGGTGGGTTTGGTGTACCGGGGGAGAGGTACTCTGGATTGTTTTTTTTTATGTGAGTGTTGTGTTTGTTGCGTCCCCCAAGACGAGTCAACGTGCCAAAACTTTGCTTCCTTTTAGCGGTATTTGACGCAGAGTTCCTGCTCTGACCGCGATTTCTCGGTCGTGGTAGTGAAAATCGGAAGTGCTTCCCTTTGTTTTGGAGATGTGATTTAACTGGCTACCCTAAGTACCCAAGAGACTCGTGCTGTTTGGGAAGTAAACGTCTCAGGTTTGCTTTTCTGATTAACATCTATTCGTTCCAAATTGTACAAAGAGAGAATGTTGTAGACTTCCTACAGACAAAAGGAAATTCAGGCGGGATTTCAATTGGACACAGAGTGTCGCCGGGTGATTGCCGGCCTTGATACCGCTAACGAGTCTGGCGTTTCGATCACGCATCTGTCGATGGCCGTCCGTCGGCTGGCGACACGTATTGAGCGGCCGCCGGACGGCTGTCCAGATTAGCCGTAAACGGTTCCTGATCGGCAGCCGAGTACCGGCGAGTCGGACCGACGGCTAATCCTAATTCCCCGGCCGGCGAGTCGACGCTGCCCCGGCCCCAGTGGCGTGCCGGGCGCCCGTCGAAGCGCCGCCAGCCCTGTTTGTCATAGCGTGGGGTCCTCAGATCTCTGCGGTGGCCGCCCTAACAACACCAACCGTTATATTGCATCGGGCTTTTTGTGTGGCAAAACTAATTTCCAAGTTTCGGCCGATAACGGCTGATTTATTGGGTCGAGCCGCGCGCCGTCCCGTGCTATATCGTGTTATGTTAACCTCGTGACGGTGACGGTGACGGTGACGGGGGGAGGGGGGGAGGGGGTGGCGGTCCGCGCCTCACCTGGGGAACGCGGCAGAGTGGGGGAGGCGGGCGAGGCAGAGAGAGAGAGAGAGAGACCACCGCTCTGGCGACATGCTTTTAGCGGCGCCGAGAAAGACGATTATCCCCCTTGGTTGACGGGCGCTGGCGCTCTGCTGCGGCCATTGTTCCAGGTAAATAGATTATGCAGACATTGTGTGACTTGAAAGAGCCGTGATTACACGATTGATTATAGGGCGGACAATGGGCCGGTCCGGAGCTCGAACTGAGTTATGAACCCATAGACTGCGACGCGGACGGGTTGGTTCGGCGGACAGAGCGCGACTAAAATGTCACTCGCAGCATCGAGATGACCGAGAAAATGTGGATGAAGCGGATAAAACGATATTCATTTTATTTATATTGTAGATGTGAATGTGATGAAATACTTTCAGATAATGTCGTCCAAATTTGAGACAAAAGGCGCAACGCATTTGCCTTTGGCGGGGCCTTTAATGCCGCACATAAACGCAACCGTTCAGTGTGCTGCGGGACTGCATATCAACCCAGGCAAGCTGGCAGTGCCATCTGTTGGCAGCATTTCGAAATGATTGACGGGGGCAAGCTGTGCATTTCTTCAACTTTACTGTTTTATATTATCAACAGGGAAAACAGCTACGCAGTAATTCACGATACATACGACACTATCCATTGCGTCATTGATTCCATATCCAAATCTTGTAATGCTGGTAAGGTCATTACTGTGCTAAAACTGGCTCTGGACGCTCAGAACAGATTCATTCGGTGCCTTTTAGGTCTCTTGTAATATGAGAGATCCGAGTTTCTCAAGAGTACTTAGCTCTCTTCTGAAGAATATTCAGCTTATTAAATTAGTCAAGAATTTGGAGATTCAGCCACGTCTCGAAACGAAGGCCTTTGTTAATAAGACAGGTGCTGGCTGTTCCGATGCTTTTAGTTGTATACCATTATGTTTATTTTTTTCCATTGTTGTGTGCTTGCGCTTGGATAAGTTGATTGGTGGTGAATGACCTCATAAGAGACGATTTTTTTTTCAGCAGCTCAGCTGATAGTTTGGTGTAGGCCGATCAATTCATAATTTTTCCTAATAATGCCTACACTTCCATCACCCTATTATGCAATAAGTTGCGATGAGTACTTATAATTCAGATTTATCTATAGCCGTTGAACGACTATTCAGGGGCACTTTATGGATTTTCCCCCAGCGTGAGCGCTCACATCAATATTCGAGTGGAGGTGATGGTTCATACCGCCCTTCACTGATCCCTGTGCCTCCTGCAGCAGCACACCCTCCGCGGGGCGGGTGATCGACACCCTCGGTATGAAATACTCCGACCATATCGTATGTAACGGCGCCCAACTCGTGTGCCGCCTTATTGAATCGACTCCCCCTCCTTGATGCCTTCGCTTCATAGCTATATGATTGCTGAACATTCTTTTGCCACGCCCCTGCTGCGCGCCGTCGCTGCTGATTTGAATAGCAGATGCGCAATTCCATCTGGTAGACGAGGTCCTTAATTGCCTGTGAGTGCGGCAAAATTTCAATGTCCGATCCATTTCGCTCGCCAATGGACAGGCATTGCGCTGCGTGCACTGCCAAATGAAACACTGTATTCGCCGGGCGATGGTATTGCACCGAATTTCGTGTGCCGGCGCGGGGCCAATTTCAATCGGCCGGCGTTTGATTCGTTCCCGTGCGGTCGGTGCGCGCCGGTGGTGGCCGGTGACGTTTATTCCGTGTGTACCGGTCAATAGATCGGCGCCCCGTGGGACCGCGGTGCCGGGTCGGACCGGGCGGCACACCGGCGCCCCCTGCGGTCAGGCGGCCCTGTTCCAGCGCCCAGGGCTCCGGGAAGGACCGGGCTGACCTCTGGAGTCAACCCGGCTGAAATCCGCTCAGCTGATGTGCCGTGTACGCGGTGCGACTTCTTATTTCAGCGCTCAGTCATCGAATGGTCTCGAACGTCGCTCGGGCATTTTGCCGGTCTCATTTGGTGTGTGTTGTTGATGTACTCGTGGTGATGAAGGTTGGTTGCATGGGACACTTGTGGGCTGCTATCGACTACAGTATTCATTGATTCCAGGCTGAACTTGATAATTTCCTGAACATTATTTACGACCACAAACATCGCACTGCGCCACGTGGGTAATTTCCACATACACTCAGGGAAGTTCAATAGTTCTAAGATCGCTAGCATCTTTCATATTATCGTTGCAAAGCCGGAAGTTAATGAAACTATAGTCCTTACTTTTATGGTGACATTGCTTACCCCTTCTCAGCCTGTGTGGGCAATAACAAGCCCTACCATCCTTGGTCCTTTGCCTAAACATCCCTTCCCTCATCACCTCTCCACTACTCACAGAGCCTGGTCGCCGCGGACAGTCTGACCCGACCCGACCGGTCCCAGACAGCTCGGCGCCGCCGTCCCGGCCGAGTCTGCCCCTGACGTCGATCTCCGCTGCCTGCTCTGTATTTGAAGCCACGTCTGCCGACCGTCTGTCAAGAAATTGCCCATCGCCGGCTATATGATCCGACTTTGTTCCGACTGGCCGTCCGGCCGCCGGGGGGAGGGGAGGGGTGAAGGGGGTGATGGGTTGGACTGGGTGTGATCGGGTACGGCGATCGGTTCTGGGGAGGGGTGCGACCCGACGGGAGGCGGGCCGAGTCGCCGTCCGGTGATGGATGGGTAGTAACACGAGCCGGGCCGGCGAGGACGTCGATGGCTCGGGGAGGGGCCCAGATGACAGAGGAGGGGGTCAGATGACAGGAGGGGGTCAGATGACAGAGGAGTCAGACGCCACCGATCGACTGCTGACCGAAGTCGGCTGACTGCCGCCCCTACCACCGATGATGCTGACTTTCTGAGAGACTTGGACGTGGACGGGAATGGGCTAGGCTGGACTGGAATAGGCTGAGGTGGACTGAGCTGGACTGGACTGGACTGGATGGGACTGGACTGGACTGGACTGGACTGGACTGGACTGGACTGGACTGGACTGGACTGGACTGGACTGGACTGGACTGGACTGGACTGGACTGGACTGGACTGGACTGGACTGGACTGGACTGGACTGGGCTGGACTGGACTGGACTGGACTGGACTGGACTGGACTGGACTGGACTGGAGTTAGCTGCGTCATACTAGGCTATGCTAGGCTGGGCCGTGCTGGTCTGTATGGGATTGGGTTTGATATGGCTGGCTTTTATTGAACCGGGCTAGGTCTGGCTAAATATTGGCCCTATGCTCCTCTGGCGAATCTTCGGGGCCAGTTAGTGAGTTTCAGGAATACTGATATGTGTTTAATGTGCACCGCGCCGGCTTCGCGAGATGAATGAGTGGCCGTTTAACAGCCAGTGCTACAACGTTCGGAAATTGCCCTCCGTCGAAAGCATGATGTGTGGATGGGCTATATCTGTTCACATGAATGGGCAGCCAGCCACCGCAAAGGTCCCGATTGAATTGATATTTGAGGCTTCGCTCAAAGGCGCTATGCCAGAGCTGTTCTCAGGCTCCTGAGATATTACCGTCTTTGATTTGACCGCATTTCCATGAATCCAGTCGGGACATAGGCTTTCTATGCAAATGAAAATTCATCTCATTCCGGTATTCTTGAACGGCCACAATTATTGGTAATCTCCCTTTCCGGTGACAGCGGCAGCGCTCATACGCTGTATTTCTTTTTTAGCACCCACCGTGCAGGGAATCGGGATGGGGGAACGGGAGGATGCTGGCGTCACTGGCCGATTATGAAGAGCTCCCGAGTAGCGGGCGGGGCAGGAGGGGTTGTTTGCCCATCCGTCCTGCCTCCCAGTCGCCGGTTATTGGTCGTGGGGGCCCCGGTGGCGGCGGTGGCGGCGGTGCTTCCTCTCAGATGAGAGCGCGCGCGCCGGCCACCTCCTCTGCCACCGCCCGCCGTCCGCCGGTCCCGGTCGGCCCGCCGCCGACGGCCGCCGCTGAGCCGTCCCGAGACGCCCTCGATTGGGTGCCGATTTCCGATGGGATTTCGGCCGGCTCCGGGCTCGTCTGATGGCCGAACAAATCCACATT